ATAGATAGATAGATAGATAGATAGATAGATAGATAGATAGATAGATAACTTTATTCATCCCCAATGGGAAATTTGGTCGCTGTAGCAGTCCAGTTGTGGCATACAATACTGACAAATAAATATGTACTATACTTGGGAAAATAAACAAAGAGGCTTGTGCCTCAAATAAAAGAATAGATAAATAAATAAGACATGAATTTTGGGATACCTATATATATATATATATATATATATATACATTTTTTTCTAATAAAAATGAATCAGCATCTGGGTCTGTTGTCCAGTTGCAAGCAATTTATGTCAGGGGGAGAAAAAATAGGGCTTCCCAGCTTGTCCTCGAACGCAACAGTTGCGTTTGCTGAACATTATCGGATCGACACTGCGGTTGCATCGTACTGAGATGTTTGTATCCGTCCACAAAAAAAAAGACAGGGAACGCTCCCCCCCCCTTTTTTTTTTTTTTTTAAACCAGTGCCTCTCGTTTTCAGTGGAGCCATGATGGTGTAGGTAGGGGATGCAGGGTTGGATTCTTTATCTTTTTTAAGCTACAATTTTATTTCCTTTTGGCTACTTTTTTTGTGATTGTCTCTCGGCATAGCCTGCAAACAAACCGTTTGTCACGTGCGTGACAAACGAGCCTCGTGGATAACTTTAAGTTAAAACTACAAAACAACGCCCCCGTTTCTCCACACCCATAGACTCGGCGATATATTTGGCCTGGCAACATTTTTCGCCATGAGGTAAGAATCTATTTAGCACTGTCATTCTGAGTATAATATGAAAGAAGAAAGTTACCGGAGGGGGTGATAAATTCACGTTAAAGCCAAAAGGTATGTTACTCTTTTGGACCAGCCTGGAGCGTGGAAACTACGAACGTCAAGCTGTTTTTTTTTTGCTGTATACGTTGCAGTAAATTGTCATTTTTCATGCCACTGTAGCTGAAATATTACTCGATGACAGCTGGTATAAAAAAGACGGCATGTTTCCGTACACACACAACACTCGCTAGAATGAGTCATAGATCTATATAGGTCGTGTTATTCAACCAAAAATGTCTCTGTAAATGTAACGGTCCATTTCTGCTGCATATCTGACGTGTGGAGGGTTTATAATGGCGCCTATTCGCTGCTGCTACTCCATACTGCATTTGTCGGATTATCTTTCAGCACTGGTGATGGGGTAGCATTTATTTGATGTCACTTTATGATTCTCTCTCTCTCTCTCTCTCTCTCTCTCTCTCTCTCTCTCTCTCTCT